CCCCAAAACCCCAAAACCCCAAAACCCCAAAACCCCTTCCCTCTCCTAAAATTGCCAAACCCCAAAACTCGCATAAATTTATAAAAAATGTCCAATTTCCCACTAAAACCCCCCAATAGCTCCGATCACTCCAGCTCCTACTCAAGCCAGAGTCCAAATAAGAAGGCAAAGAAGAAGCATAAGAAGAAGATGAGAAAGCAGGAGGAACGAGAGAGGGTAAAGAAGAGTAGAGAGGAAATGGAGCAGGAGAGGAAAGAGGTGGAAGAAAATTTGGTAGCGCATGAGATGCTTAGTAGGAGTGAGGAGTTTGCACCAGAGAAGATAGGGATGCTGGAGAAGTATTGTAAGGTGCATTATAAGGCGAAGAAGGAAGGGGTTGAGGAAGAAGAGTTATCTGAAGGAGAGACTTTGAAATATGAAGTAGGGGATAAAAGCTGGTCAGCTCTCTGGGGTGCTTCTCCAGACGATGATGCCTTGACCAAGCTTCATAACGAGATTATTGGATTTCTAAGAATTTGCGGTCCTACCCTAAGAAACATAAATTTGAGAAAGAAAATTTTCTTTTTCACTAAGATGTTTGTTAAAGAAGTCTTGCCAGATTGTGTCATCAAAGTTAGTGGATCTACAGCCATTATGACATATTTAACTAGAAGCCCTATTGATGTTGTCCTCTTCTTTCCGAACAAGACATCAAGTGAAGCCAAGAATGCTCAATTATTAGTTGAAGCGTCTAAGAAGGAGGATTGGATCTACACTTGCACTCTTATTAATGGAAAAGTTCCATTACTAGAGCTAACAGATCAAGAATAGCAAGCTTGTAGTAAACATTTGATTTAACAAAGGAGCGGCAATAACAGTCATTCCAGTCTTCAAGAAGTTCCTACTCTTTTACCCTGAATTGAAGTACTTGTTGGTAGTTATCAAGGCTTTTCTGAAGACAAGGGGACTACACCTAGCTTATCGTGGAGGAATGTCATCCTTTGTCCTTACAATACTCATTATCAGCTATTTACAGCAGATTAAAAAGGAAAACTTCGACCGCGACATTTTATTATCAGAGCATCTATTCAGTTTCTTCCATCTTTATGGAGTGAAATTTAACTATGATGATCTTGGAATCTCTATCCGTGGAGCAGGAGAGTACTTTTTAAGAAGTTCAAGAGATTGGGTATCCAAAGACAAATTCCACTCCACAACACTCTGTGTAGAGAATCCCCAAGATATCTCTATAGATGTAGGCAAAGGAGTTTACAAGATTTACCAAGTCAGAAATGCATTTGAGAGTGCTTATGAATACATGAGATTGAGCGGGCCGGGTAAAGATAGCCTCCTAAAAGACATTATAGGAGATCTTACTACCATCTAAAGTCTACTGAAATTGTACTATTTTCTTCAATCACTGTATTTCATATTGGGGTTTTGGGGTTTTGGGGTTTTGGGGTTTTGGGG